CCATCCTTCCGAGGTGGGTGAAATGAGGACCCGGACTGTGGGGGCGATATGCTGACTCAATTTGCTAAAAAATAAATAAATTGTAAACCGCTTAGAGAGGGCTGAAAGCCCTATGAAGCGGTATATAAGTCTAATAAATAAATAACTAAATAAACTCTTTAGATGGGGAATGAAGCTTATTTATGATAGAGGTAAAGATGCTCTGAATTAGATTGGGTGACACATCCATATAGTTTCCTTGGCAAGGGAATTGAAATAGTTGGCTACTGCCTTTCCTGGGATTTTTTTCTCCTTTTTTTCCCCTTTGCAATCTAGTTCAGTGTTTCTCAACTTTGGCAGCTTGAAGATGTCTGGATTTCAACTCCATGTTCAAGTTGCCAATGTTGAGAAGCCCCGAGCTAGTTTACGGTCCTGAAATTCCTGAAATTGGTCTCCCATCCAAGTACTAAGGAGGCCCGACCTTGCTTTGTTTGGAGTTTAGACACAGTTGACCAGCAGTTGCCTCTTTGTAATGTTCTGTAAGCTGCCAATGTGTCTAACCATTGCTGAAGGTTGTCATTCTTGGCTACAAGTCCAGTAAAATCTAATGCTTAAACACCAGGTTAGAGGAGACCGTGAATGCTAGTCCTGCCTTAGACATGAAAGCTGGCTGGGTCTCTTTGAAGACCCAGCCAGCTTTCATGTCTAAGGCAGGACTAGCTCATCTCACAGGGCTGTTTTTATGGGGAAAATAGAGGAGGAACTATTAGATATGTTTTACCACTATATATAATAAACGAATTAAAGAACTCTTTAAAAAATAATTTTCTTTTAGAATGGGAGTTGTTAGAGTTAGTTTCATGATTGGCTTTCAGCTACCTGAAATTAGTAAAGTTTGGCCCTTTTTGTAAATTATACTGGAGTCAGATTATATTAACTTGTCCATTTCCCCTTGGATTGTATAAACTCAGTTTATCTTCCTCCAGAACCAGCCTGCATTTCAGTCTTATGCTGACCATTCATATTCCAGGAAAATAATCAGATTATTTTCCAATACTAAGACATGGTGTGTAAACACTTGCCCTCTATGAACTTATCAATCCTTCATCTGTCAGAGTCCTCTGGAAAGTATACAGAAACAAATGCTATAAGCCAGTCCATATTTTCAAAATGAGGGTGCTATGTAGAAGAAATGGACTGAATTATGCTAATAGTGTACTAAAGAAAGACCCCCTTGTATTTCTCAATTCAGTTAGAAATGTGGGCCGGTTTAATCTTACTGACAATAGGATAATGTTGTTCTCTGTGCATTAATGTTGTACACCTATAGGGGGCAAGAATGGTGCATACACGTTTGTCCCTTGATACTTTGCCCCATTTATACATGACTGAATCAACTGCCTCATTTTGCCTAAAAGTTAAGTTGGCCTGGAAAAAAATAAAACTTACACTGTGGATGAAAAAAAGAAACTTTGGATCATATGTTATGTTAATCCATAATGTATCCGATTAACATATTGAGCAAATCTAACCACTGTTAGATTTGTAAAACTTGTTTTGTTTAGTGATAGGGGGTGGTAGTTTGCCAACTTTTAGTCTAACATGTAGGGAATCAACCTATGTATTTAATTTTCTGGGATAATACAATATGTAAAACTCTCAACTGAACTAATTGAAGAAAAAAAATGAATAAATCAAATATGGCTAAGCATTTGTTTAAAGCCAGTTATTAATAAAATCTAGATTTAATGCTATTTAAGCAAACCCATTCAATAATAGAATATTGATTAATGACAGTCAGGTTAAATAATCCCATAGATGCCTGTTGTTCTGCTTCCCAAAGAATTATGTTTGTTTTTGATCAATATACAGTCCATGTTGCCCCACCCCGATTGGGCAGAAATGTAAATTTCTAAGACAGGCTTCCTCAACTTGGTATCTTTTAACTGAGCTGGTGGACAATTGGAGATGTAATTCCACACAGCTCCAGGCTGCCAATTTGGCAAAATTTATTAAAGATGAAATATCTTAGTTTCATAAAATTTCTTGAGATTAAATACGTAAAACTGTAAAGCAGCAATAAGAAAGGCAGATTGGTTGTTTTCTGTGTTTAAGGTTTCTCCCACTTGGTCCTTTCCCCCCCTATTCAGGTGCATTTCTTATTCCCTATTTGACAATGTTGGCTCTGGCTGGAATCCCTATCTTTTTATTGGAAGTTTCTCTGGGACAATTTGCTAGTCAGGGACCTGTATCTGTCTGGAAAGCCATCCCTGCCTTTCAAGGTAAGCTTTGGAAACGGATTAAATCCTGCGCTTTTCAGAAATTAGGAAATTGTGGATTAACTTCAGTTTAATCAAGAGATAGGACATGACTTTGGTCTTTGGGTGGCGCTGTGAGAGAGCAGCGGCTGATGCTTTGCAGTCTTATTTTGACCTTCAATGGACCTTGCCTTGACTGATGTGGTAATAATGCAGCACTTCTCCTGTTTTAGTGAACCTTCACTGCATTCTGCAGCAGGGGAGTGTAGCTGCAGCATTCTGATTGAATCCAACACATGTGATACTGCAGTATAGTACTTTCCGTACTTAAAAAAAATCCATGCAAACCCCGTGCATCATATTTATATCAGGGGGATGGAGGGTGCACAGTAAGATGCAAGGATGCATACTTTGATGCATTAAAAATTGATTGCAATGTATTCATCCCAATGTACTGTACTTAATCTGATAATCATCATATGTGAATGATGACAATTTGGTGCAAGCCAGAATCAAATATGTATTTACTTCGAGCGTAATTCAGTCAGTCAATTTGTGATTAGAAATAAAATAGAACGGGGCTGCATATTGAATTGTCTCCTATAAATGACTCAAAAATAATGTACTCAGTGGACAAAATACAATAGTTGCATAAGATTAGTTGGTTTGATCATTATTTTTTGGTCCCAAGAATATAAAACAAGATAGCATCATATCTGTTTTATTATTTTTTTTCAGGTTGTGGCATTGCAATGCTGATTATCTCTGTCCTAATAGCCATATATTATAATATTATATTGTGCTATACACTTTTCTACCTTTTTGCATCCCTTTCACCTGTGTTACCTTGGGCTTCCTGTAATAATCCCTGGAATACACCTGATTGTAGAGATAAAAACAAACTTTTGTTAGGTAAGTTGAGGCATGCTTTTCTTTTATATTTTTAAAGCTCACATTCCTGTTATGCTTCTGATCTGTACTATACCTGTAACAAGCTAAAGCATATTCAGAGATTTGTTACTGTAAATTAACAATTCTCCATACAAAGCCTGTCTTTTCTTTACTGAGCAGTAATGATTAGATGACTTTAAAATAAATTTTAAGTCACTAGTAGGTATCCTGCTGCTGAGCTGATTAAAAAAATCAAAGGGTACTGATAATTTAACCTTTGTTTTACTGGTCAATTATTTTATATGGCGAACCTTTTTTGTTGAACTAATCTCTATCCATTAGAAAGTCTTAATGATGCCTTTATAAATACCAATAACTAATAGTTTAGTTATTTACATCTTCATCATATCAGTATTAAATAATTAAAATGTTAAAGCTAGAAAATCAATGATCTAGAAATATTATTTTCTTTCAATCAATTGTATCTGATTCTTAGAATCTCTCTGGACAAATCTCTGCACTTTTCTTGGCAATGTTTTTCAGAAATGGTTTGCCATTATCTTTTTCCTACAGTTGAGAAAAGTGACTGGGTCACTTTTCCAATGTCACCCAGCCAAGGTGAACTAGAATTCCCTGTCTCCTGGTTTCTAGCCTGAAAACTGTCAAATTGAGTCATACAACTAATAAATACAAAATCATCACTTAATATAACGTGACTTAAGTTAAAATCAGTACATGTTTTATGGGTCTTTAATGTCCTAATGCCACCGTTGATGTGATTAATAGTATTTTCTCTGGGTAAGAATGTTATAAAGAAAACTCACATAACGAGTGCTTGGCAGGCTACATGAACTCTGTCATAACAAAAAAATTGCCTTACTAAGGTGATTCTTCAAATAATTCATTCCAAGTAAGGAATCCATCAGATTTAATCATGCTAATGAACTCTCTCTCTCTCTCTCTCTCTCTCTCTCTCTCTCTCTCTCTCTCTCTCTCTCT